AAAAAAAATATAACAGCTGCTAAGAAGTCAAGTTGAGAGATAAAGTTTTCGAGGCTGAGGACCTTCTCAGAAGTAGACTAAAGGTCTTTCTTAAATCTTTAAAGCAAGGTTATGTATCCCAGGGTGGATTTTGGGCACCAAGTCAAAAATGTAACTTTGTGTATCATTCTTGTCATAGTATTTTGTGTTCCAGAATAAAGACAGAGGACAAACTTGGTGATTAGCATCTGCTGAGAGTAGCTTATAGCTGGAATCATCAAATGGTACCATTTATTTTTAATTGTGGTTAACCCCCCCCATAATATAAAGTTTACCATCTTAGCCATTTTTAAATGTACAGTTAGGTAGTGTTAAGTACATTCATATCATTTGCGACTGATCTCCAAGTGTCATTTTAATGCTGGTAAGTCGTCTGGGGGCATACTGACTAGGACTGAGGCTCATGGAGGAAGAATGTGTTGTTAAACCATATTCCAAAGGATGAATTCCTGTCCAAACAAAATTGACCTTTTTAAACGGTCTTATTCCCTTATAGACAAACATATACTAGATACATAAAAATATATTTAGAATAGAAATATGATCATTCATTTAGTTAACTCCATTATATATGAAAGAAGTCTTTGGGAAAGTCTGGTATTGTTGGGTGGAAAAAGGACTGTCTTTCGGATATCTCACATGAAGTGACTCCTTATATTGCATTGGTATGATACGTCAGGAAAACAACCTGGGAAATAAGATGAATTAAACTTCTGCTCTCAGCAGAAGGCTGAAGCCAGACAAATATGTGTTTATTATTCAGGGTTTATTATGTCATTTAAAGTATATTTAATCGTATATTTAGTATTAAGTAATATTTCGTAGTATACTTTGTATATTAGATATATTTAAGGTATACATGATGATTTGCTGTGATTACTACAGTCAAGCTAATTAATATATCATCTCCTCCCATATCTACTAATTTGTGTGTGGGGGTGATGAGACTTCCTGCAACCTACTGTCTTAGAGTAACTAGAGTCACCATGCCTGTACGTTAGATACCTAGATTTGTTCAGCCTATATAACTGCAATTTTGTGCCCTTTCACCAATCTCTCTCCTTTTGCCCCACTCCCTATTATGTGATTTTTTTTTCCTATTTTTTTTCCTATTATGTGATTTTTAAGCAAACAAACTCCCCTTACCTTAAACAAGAATATTAAACGGTTTATTTTCACTTCTAGTACCTGTTCTTTTCTTTCATAACACTCATAAGAGTTTGGTACTCAGCGAATTGTCTTTTTGCTTAATGTATATTTCCTCTATATTCTCAACTGGTAGCATGAAAAATGACACATGGGTAGGCACTAAAGAGCTACTTGTTGTTGGAGTACAATAAACACTTAGTATGTGTTACATCATTCACCCAAAATTTACCGAGTGCTTACAGTGTGTCAGGTACTAGGTAAGGCTCTTCCCCTGGATGCACCTTCACAGAGTAATCAGCCAGTTACATGCTTCACATAAAAAGAACTACAGGTTGTCTTAATACCAATTGCATCACTGTAGACTACATACTTTGTTTAAGTCACATCTCCTAAGCCCCTGTCTTCTGAGTGATACAGCTCACCTTATTAAGTATTTTTAAGTAAGCAATTTCTATACCCTTTGAGGTCATCCTTAACTACACGAAGTATTCTATAAGTAGTGAAAAGTGGAATTCTCACTGCTTACATCTACATAATACCAGTATGTCACAACGCCACCTTCTGCATGCTTGTTTTGTCGGACCTCAAAGAAGAGTACCGGATGACCTCAGGCTTTGGGTCACTTTATCATATGTATTGAGCATTAGCTGAACAATGATTCGATATTTGCATGGAAACTGCTTTGGAAGAAAAAACATAAACTGAGTTTTTCTTTGGCTGCTTAACTCTACTCATGCTCTACAACTGTAAAGGCAATACAAGCGTTAATGAAACCCTTGGAAGAGCTTTAAAGACTAACACGCTCCTTTACAGTTTCCCTCCAAGTTTTGTGTATGTTCTCTAGGCTGAGCAGACAATGTCAGAAACCACAGAAATAACTTTAATCTGGTTAGAATAGTCAGTGAGCGGGAGAATGCTCTGGTGGTTTAAGGGAATAAAGGAAACCAAATCAAGATAAGGAAACACACTAACCAAGTTATTCGCTAAATTGGTTTACATTCGGCTCACTAATAGATTTTCTTCTAGGCATGTCTGTGAGATGCAAAATTTTTGAAATGTGACTAATGCCACTTTACTAGGGTTGACTAAAGAATGCAACTATGCCAAGCACTGGGTAGATTTTCCTTGGTAGACTACAGGAGCATGAACAATTTGGTTCTGTCAATTGCAAGCCAGTAAGACAAATAACTGAATGAATGAATGAATGAATGAGTCAATGAATCAATGAATCAATCAATCAATCAATCAATGGTGAGATCTGCCTTCCTGAGACTGTTTCATTCAAAATCAACGATGTGAGACGTATTACAAAAATACAGCTACAATTTATAGATGATTCTTTTGTAAAGGTGGGGGAAATAATCTTAAGAGAAAAAGAAAGGAAACAAATCTTTTTATAACACCTTGTGTACTGCAATTGTGGGTTTTGAGGCCATTTCCCTAAGACTGTGAGAGTAAACACACAATTTTCATTAAATGTGCCTTTCCCATAACTGGTCCATAAGCGTTTCCCATGACTCTGCCGTTGAGTATCTTGGCTGGAGGAGGATCTGGCCATTGGAAGGAGGGCTCTAGATATGCTGAGTCCCAGCCGTGCTGAGAGACTTGGCACCTTTATATGCTACTTCCTAATACCAACCCCGGCATAAAATGTCATCAGAAGCCTGCATAAACATTGGACTTAGATTCACATAAATTATTTCTGTCCTAAGGTGCTTTCTGCCAGAATTTAGTAAAAACAACACTTTGAGTAAATAGAATTGGCGTATAAATGTAAGAATATTAATCCAACAAAATGATCATAGGAAAATATAATCAAAAGTACACATTTGTAAATCTTGCAATGATGTGAGAGGTTTATCTTGTGCCTCTGAGTTTTTATTGAATATTTCCATAGAGTTCCTTTAAGCTGACACTGCCAAAGTGCTTTGAATTATCAGTTGCTTTGTGGAATTATAAAGTCTTTGAGTTTCATTAAAATGCTTAGGAGTCATTTTAATAATCATATGTGTGATTAGCGCCTGTTTAGTGCTGGATCTACAATTTCATTTTAAGAGTAAACACTGGGACAATGAAATATAATGCCAGATATGATTGCTGCTGTCAGCAGAAACATTGTCTTATTTTATTAAAAATCGCCAACAAAATGCCGTGAACAGAAGATACAGTTTCTATTTATAGATATTTTCTACTCTACTGTATTATGGTATCTGCACACCACCAGGCTGTATCTAGCAGAGTTTTCATTTTGCCTCGGGTATGTACATAAATAGAGAGGTACAGAGTCCTTTTATTATATGTGCACACGTCTTATTATGTACAGCTCCCCCAAAGTCCTATTCGGATATTTGCTCTAATATAATAGTGCTCACACCGTCGGTGCTGAGTATTTCTAAGTGGATGGAGATTTCCTGAAAATGATGATAATTTAGCTATTGGCAATAATAACATTATAACATTCTCAGTGATCCATTTTGGCTTTAAGTACTTATTAAATAATATTTATTCCTAAATTATGAACTTATAAAATTAAACGAGATTGCAACATGCAATAAAAACACATTTCTCTCTAAACTCCAACTGACTCCATTCCTCACAGATACCTCTCCTTGTGTTCATTCTGCTTTTACTGTTTTCTACCCTCTGTGAGCTCTCGGCTCTTCTCTCTGATGTGTTGCTATGCTTTCCCCCAAAGCCACTCTCTTTATCCACTTTCCCTACCCACTCGTCCCCTTCTTGTTCTCACTCTCTCATTCTCTACTGATATGGGAATAATGGGATCCCAAAGCTGTCCTTACAGTATAATTAAAGTGTGAATTTCCAGGAGTTGGAAATTGCAGGCCATTTTTATTATGCTTCTATAATAAAGCCAGGTAACACTGAGAGAATTAAAATGCCTTTCTCCTAGTAGATAACTTGGTAAAGATTTTTTTCCCCTTGGTTCTATTGTCTTAAGAGACTGGGAGCTGAAAATGGGACTAGATTCACCAATTCTTTTTCTGAAAACACCTCTATCTTTTACATGATATATATCCCCCTAGATCCTGGGAATATGTTGTAAACTTGTAACAGATGGTGATGAAGCTTCACATTTTTATACATTTTTTGAGATTCTGCAACTACTGTATGTATCTTCCAGGGAAAATGACCTTGAATGAATGAAGTCACAGTCTGAGGGAAAAACACCCCACAGATAGACCAGCAAAGAAATGATGAGTCAATTGGGTTTTGTTCTGTTCCCCGTGCTAAGATGAAATAATTTCCGACGAAAAACAGAATGCTGGAATATAGGAATCAAAGGTCGTCTTGACACTAGAGGTGCATCTGTTAATTGTTCCGGGAGAACCAGTTAGCCATATCCCATATTGAACAGAAACACATGGAAGACGGGATATCACTGTTTGTGAGTAGGAATGCTATTTGCTTCACTTGGGTAATGTTGGGGGCTTACCAAAAATTGTTCTGGCACAACATCTACCAGCATGAATGTTAGGAGGGTTCTAACACTGTGAGTACTGATATTTTATGAATGTTTTATCACTGGCTTGAAAACAAGAGGTTTGCAATTGAATCAACAACATGTCAGACAGACAAAATATTAAAAAAAAAACGAACATTAGTGGGAATTACTGATGTCCCTATTGTAAAAACAAACTGAAGTTAATAAGAAACTTGATCCTCTTAACCGATTAACAAAAGTCAAGTTTTAATTGCATGGCTTCCCAGACAAATCAAAGAGCGCTGTTAACTTGAGCATTGGTTGTTTAGAGGGTACGCTAATGGAAGAAATTGCTGCATATTCAGTTACCCACCTCTTTTTTCGACAGCTTCAATGCATTGCTTTACAAACCGTGGAACTGTGGAATTTTCACGTTCACACACTGTGTGCAGATGAGAGCCAAAAATTTGATCTGCAAAAGAAACAAAGATGAGCTTCATTAAAATCCAAGATTGCGTTGTTCTTTAATTTGATTCTGTTTCCATACCCACTGCGTGCTAAAATCTGTGTCTTGCATAGGAATTGATTTTTTGTTTTAATTCCAAAGGGTCTATTGCAGAGATGCAAAGGCCATAATCCCTCCTTTATAGAACAGGACCCTGGGCCCAGAGAAAGAAAGCTAACACTCCACCATCGATTAGACTGGGATGACAGGGCATAACTTTGTTGTTTATAAAATAGTAACAAGGAATTAAGAAAACTTCTACAAAGTAATTAATCTTAATGAATTGGTATCTTGAGTGTTTTAGAAGAAATTTGTCAGTGATCACCAAAATTATAATTTTATCAGTATATTTAGAAGATTCATTCAGTGGGTCAATGATCTTTGAAGAAGCAAGTTCCAGATTTACTTTGAAGTGGATTTCTTAACATCTCTTCTGCCTTGAATGCCCTTCCTCAACATCTAAGTGTCCCCTTCCCTTTATAGCTCAGTTCTGACCACACTTTCTCCACAAACTCTTTTCTTCTTATCTCAGTGTTGTGTCTCCTTTAATATCAGTTCTTTGGAATACCAGTTCCTCGGGATGTTAATAGGCAATTTGCGGGGAAAAGGCCTATGATCAAAATGGTTTAGCAATGTTGGGTTAAACAAAGTTAAACAGGTTTCTTTCATGTGTATTCTTACAGCTTGTGGCATGCCATTCTGCACTGGGAATCCCCACAGAGGGTTGGAGGATGCACTATCTCCCAAACTTATTTGAGTAAAATACTTTTATTTCAAGCGGCATCCCTCCAGACTAAGGCTTCTGAGAACACACTCTGAAATCCTAACCTGGTCTTCTCATTTAGGAACAAGATTTATCCTACCTTGCATTGTGTATTTACACTTATAATAGATGGAGTGTATTTTCTCAAAGCAGATTTGGAGTGCCTACAGGCCCTATGTGTTCATATGGTCACCAGGGCTTAACACAGACTCTGGCCCACAGGATTTGCTCATAGATACTTCTTATTGCAGTAAAATATACATAACATACAATTTACCATTATAACCATTTTTACATGGACAGTTCAGTGGCATTAAGCGCATTCTTTTTTTTTAATTTTTTAAAGACTTTATTTATTTATTTGTCAGAGAGAGAGAGAGCAAGCACAAGCAGGGGGGAGCAGCAGGCAGAGGGAGAGGGAGAAGCAGGCTCGCTGCTGATCAGGGAGCCCGATGTGGGACTTGATCCCAGGACCCTGAGATCATGACCTGAGCCAAAGGCAGATGCTTAACTAACTGAGCCACCCAGGTGCCCCAAGCACATTCTTGTGTAATCTTCACCACCATCCATTTCCCGATTTTTTAAAAACAGCATAGATGTTTATTACTGAGAGTGAATCAAATATTTAGTAGGTTCAAGGGCTTCCCATCTTGCTCAAAATGAACTCCAGTTCCCTACTGCAACTTCTAGGGTAATATATGACCTGCCCTTCCAACCATTAATTGAGTTCATTTGCTCCCTCTGCCCTCTCTCCCCCTCATCACTTGACTGCTGGCTGTCCACATTACTGATTCTTGTCTATGCCAAGCACACTTCTGCCTCAGGGACTTTGCACTTATTATGACCTCTGCATGAAACTCCATCGCATTAAGTCTCTTTTGTAGCCTTTCCTACACACTTTTATTTCCCCCTAAAAAAGGGCTGCACTGTAATAGGAACTCTCCATGATACTTTCCTGTTTTACTTTCCTTAGAGCACTTATCTCTGCCTGGCATATTAGATTGAGTGCTTACTGGTTAGTTTTCCCCTGCTTAGAATGCAAAACCAAGGAGAGTAAAGACTACACCTATTTCCTTTCTTGCTGGGTCCCTAGTAAGTAGACAATGTTTGGCATATACTAGAAGTTCAATAAATATTTATTAAAGACATTGTCTTAATCATCAGTGGAGGTCTTCAATGATTTTAAAAAATATTTGTTGTAGAAGTGGGGAGAAAAATAAAATGCAGCATAACAGATTGGTAAGTGAAATATTACAAAGGGGTAGTCAAAATGGAATGTGATGAGACTTGAAGGAAGTCATGATTTTCATCCATTTCTTAGAAAAGGTGATGGCTTGAGTTAAGGACAACCTAGCAGGGAGGAAAGAAATTAAGGCTAAAGCACAAACATATTTCAGTATGAAAATGTACATTTTCATCTAAGAGACAGAAAGATGATAAATCCCAAACATATCAACAGAGTGTAGAGAAGTGGGAAATAATCATGTGTATTTGCTTTGACTCTTTGGTCAAGTAACAAAGACTTGTTCAAAAACAGCCACCACTATAAGAAAAAAAAATGACATAAACTATTATCTAAGAAAAATAGCCCCCAACTTCAGATGGAATGATTTAAATTGGCTAGAGATTATAGTCTGGAAGAAATGCTATAAAGTATAAAAACTCCTAAAGGAAATTATTATTCAAATCAATTTCACAAACATTTATTGAGCATGTGGCAGGACATCAGACCAGCCTTTGGTGCCCACAGAAGACCTCCCAGAGAAGAAACAAATCCTCAAGGAAAAGTAAGATTTAAGTGAAGAGGTAAGACAAGGGACAAAAGGCCATTTAGGGAAGATGGAAGGAAGGTATACAAACACATCAGTGATGGGAAAAATGGCAGGAAGCATGAGATGTGCTGAGGGATACATTCACTCATTCTTATTTAGAGAAATCTTGATGTATTAAGCTTTAAAAGAAGATGAAGATGTGTTATAAGAGCCTTAAATATTTTAGTCAAGTAGGTTAAATTATTTGAAAGTGTGCAGACACCAATGATTTCTCATACATACACTATTCCCCTCATGACTTCTCATTTTTAGAGTCCATTCATAAGAGAGAGCCTGAAAATGTTCCCCTATTGACTTCTGTCTTCCTTGCAGATCTGGGTAATTAGACAGCTCTAATCAGTCAAATGTAAGGAGAAATGACTTGGGAAGCTACAAGAGATTTTTTTTTTTTTTAACCAGCTAAAAAGAGAGGTGTGTATGAAGGCACTCTTTCTTTTTTCTTCCTGCTTTGAACATCACTGTGCAATCATGTGATGTTGGAGCTACTGCAGCAATCTTATCACCATGAGACAACAAGCGTCCAGACAAAAGCTGACATGATTAAAAAAGTCACAAAAAAATCCAGACCTCAATGACATTGTTGAAGTTCTAAACCTAAAACATTTTTTTTCTAGATTTCTTATTTAGTGGGAGATAAAAGTCATTTTTAACTGTGCATTCTATCCCCTGCAGCCAAAACGTTCATAACCAAATGGAGGCACAGATTGTGAAGAAGACTGAACACAAGGAGATTAGTTTAAGAGGCTAATGTGATCACCTATGAAGGTGTTATGGAAACCAGAATCAGGATAGAGTTGTGGTAAATTTAATCATTGTTCACGATTCTTCTCATCTTCTCTGAGTTAGATATGTACATTCACCTCTTTTGCCATGTGACTGTGTGGTAAAACTCACTACAGTGTGCAACATTTATTTCTCCCATTTCACTGATGTTGGGCTTGGCTGTAGACTTGCTTTGGACAATGTAGTGTGAGTAAAAATGACCATGTATCAGTTCCAGACGGAGGTCTTAAGATGCATTGTAGATTTCTACTCACCTGACTGCTTTTCTGCTATTGCCAAGACAAGAACTTCCCTGGGTAGCTGTTGCCCTTTCAGTCTGGGATCCAGAATAAATACATATGGCAGAGATTGAGGCCAATGCTCAGTTAGGAGACAAGTCTAGTCAGACCTTCTGCTTAAAGTACAGCTGTCCAGTCAAACCTGCCCCAGGCTACTTGACCCACAGACACATGAGAAGTAAGTGCTTCCTGCTGTATGTCACTGAGATTTTGTGTTTGTTATACCGCAATAGCTTACTGATAAAGATGATAACAGGAGTCCAGGTTGTTGGTGACCTAAGCTACGCTATGAGAATGACAACAAAGAGAATTGACAGGGCATGGAAACTGAAACTGCGGAGCAAATAAATAGATTAAAACAATTCTAAGTCTGCTAGGATTGTGGAATCATGCATCAGTTTAGATTCAACGCAAGGAGGAGTCCCAAAGGAAATTTCTCCCCCTTTAAAATGAACTCATTATGCTTTACCTAATATGACGGCACTTTTTACTCTGTATTCTCTCCCACTCGATTCAATTCTATCAAATTCAATTCAGTGCATATTTCGTGAGCACCTGCCATGTGCCAGATATTGTAAAGAATACAAATATTAATTCACTCATTCAGTAGCTATAACATGCCTGCTATAAGCCAAACACTATGCTCTAGCAGGAAAATGCAGTGATGCATTGAAGCATGATCTCCTAACAGTCTGGGGTGGTGATGGTGGATAACTCTCACAAGCATTTATAATATAATGTGATTAGTGCTATCTCAAGGCTATGTAATAACAGTGAAGCTTCATTGTACCCTTAAACTAAGCCAGGCATGGTTCAAAGTATTTTATGTATTCTAACTTATTAAATCTTTACATGAATCTTCGACCCTTTGGTGGTAGATACTATTAACCTGATTTTATGGGAGAGGAAACAGAGACCCCAAAATATTGAATCCTATGTCCAAAGTTACAAAGTATCATGGTTTAGGGAAAGAAAAAAGATAAGAACCTGACCTGTGACAACGGAAAGAAGGGATGATTTTGTAGGATTTGTTAACTGGACGCAGAAGGTGAGTCAACCTACCAGAGAGAGGTCTTCCTAGTTCCTTGCTTGAGTAAAAGAGACTGACATGCAGAAGGAACCCTGAAGGTTTGGAGAAGAATAAAGAGATAGGTATTCAGGAATGAGGATAAGCATTTCAGATGCAGAAGAATGATGGTGGGAGCTAAAGGTGAAAAGTTCTCATTGAATTTTGACAATTCAGAGGCTATTGGTGACCACGAGGAAAAACGGCTTTAGTAGAAGAATGCAGTTGAAAAGCAGATGGTGGTG